GGGCTGGGGGTGGCCATGAGCACAGCTGGAGAAGCTCCACCCACATTAGCCGGTCCTGGCGGGCAGTACCTTGATGGCGTGGTAGAGAAACACTCCGTGCATTGCCTCGCGGATGGCCTCCATGCCTCGGAAGGAGAAGGACAAGTTGGAGAGGCCTCCGCTTATCCTGGCTCCTGGTAATGTCTCCTGGCAAGAAGGTTACATGTGAGAGGACTCCCCTACTTTCCCCAAAGCAGTCATCATGCCTCTTACGCTCTACGTAACAGGGAGAATAGCCCAGAGCCTCCTGCTACCCGAGACCAGAGGTGGCCCCGCCCCCCGGGCAGCCGCTCCTCCTGGATGCTGACCTTCCTGGGGAAGCACGAAGCTCCCCTCACCACGCACTGCACCACGGCCGTGCAGGGCCTTGTGCACATGACGGGCCACAAAACACGTGCAAGACGAAGGGCGGAGACAGAGGACAGCACACACAGCACACACGTGCGACACACGTGCGACAGGACCAGGCGCGGGGACGGCAGCTACGAGACGGCCTGCAGAGCCCAGGGGTGCGCACTGCTGAGTCACACCCAACTGGGCTGATCAGCAAAGATGCCGGAGACCAAGGCTGCCAGCACGCCAGGAGCAGCCCGAGCTCGGCAGGCATGCACACTGACGACACCCCACCTCCTGCAGGCTCACGACCGAGGGAGGCCACCTGCTGCTGTATTCACCCGTGACCCGCCACCCCCTTCAGGGTGCAGTGCTGAGGCTCCCGTCCACACACAAGGACATGCAGCACAGCGGCTCCTGGCGTCCGACTCTGGAAACCACCCAGACGCCCAGCAAGGACGGGTGGCTGTGAGGTTATGCCGTGGAGCAGGACGTGCGATGAGGCAAGCCAAGATAGGCACAGTGCACGGCCACGCCTTTAAACTGAGGCCGAGTGCCTTTAAAGAGTGGTCTCCTGATAGTCTCCTGATCTTTACGTAAGCTTGAAACCGAACAAGGGCGATAGGACCCCGGTAGCCCTCGTGCGCTGAGTGGCTCTGCCTCGGGGCCCAGACCCCACACTGGGCAGCACTGAAGCCTGCTCCTGCGGACAGACAGGGTCCCCGGCCAGCCCCGGCCCACGCTCAGCAGCTCTGCAGGCAGGACTCCGTGTGCTCCTTTACGTAAGGGATAAACCACGCAACTTGACAAGGGGGTGCCGGAATCGGGATGTGGGGAGACGGGAGGAGACCCTCGGTATGACCCACACTGGGCTCCAGACCACTCCCTCTTATCCCCACCGCCGTGTTTCAGATGTCCTCCAGAGAGTTACACTGCACAGTTGAAAAGAGAGCCATGTTCAAGGGAAGGGTAGGGGCCTACAGTCAGAGCCACTCACTAACACTCCCAGCCCACCTGGTACCGAGTCGGGGCTCAGGTAGGAGAGAAAAGCCCACCTTACCTTAATGACTTTGGTCGCACGGATAAAGTTAATGGCATATAAGTTGTGTTCCTCCATCCCGGTCCCAATGGTCAGGATGTTGGGGTCAAAGATGATGTCGTTCGGGTTGAAGCCCACCTTCTCCACGAGGAGGCGGTAGGCCCGGGTACACACCCTGACTTTGGAGTCTGTTTCTGTCGCCTGCCAAGGGAACAGGTGTCACCAGACATAGAAAAAATGGAGGCGCTACCTACGAACACAGAAGCACACCTACTTATCGAACACACTCAGGTACAAGGCTTAGATTTCCTAGAAATCCCAGCACCGAGCAGCTTCTAACGGTCAGTCGAGTTACCTCGGGGGGGAAGTAAGTGGTTTGAAGGTCCCTTCATGTCTGTGCTGACACGTCAGTTACACACGTTCAATAAAAGTCGTAAAAATCAAATGTGCACACACACACACGCACACGCACACACACACACGGCTATGAACAAGCAGGCATCTAAACTCACGTGCCAGAAGGGCAAACACCCTGAAGCCAGCACATGCCCTCCCCTCCCCTTCTGGGCTGCTCCCACGGTGCCCTGCTCTTGAGGACACGTGGCTAGCGCTCAGCCCACAGCCCTGGCTGGCTGGTGTGCACCCTCGGCCTGAACACAACAGAACTACCCTTTAAGTCACGTCCTGAGAAGGCCAGAAGGCCCAGCTCTTGGCACCCCGAGAAGTAGGGCCTCCAAGTCCAGGCCATTTCCTGCCTGACCCCTCCCCAGTGATCTGGAAGCCCACCCAGACCTGTCCTGTCACCGCGGCCCGGTCTGGGTACCGTGACACGGCTCTCTGCTTTCTGCATCCCTCAGCCTCTGCCCCGTCACTCTCTAAGCCTGCCTACCCCATTCTTCAGAGCAGCGTCTCCTTCCAGCAGCAAGCGTAACTGGTCACTGGTCTCCCCAGCTACATGTCAGCCCCAGAGTGCGCCCGCGCAGAGCCGAGCCTATCGGTCACCTGCTCGACGGCATCGGCTGCCCTCATCCAGGCCCCCCGGGCTGCACCAGGGAACTGTCTCGATTGAACGCACAACCTCGATGCGTGACCTGCACCACCTCCACCCTAGATGAGTCTGCTCACACAGAAAGTCAAATCTGCTCTGGAGAAAACAGACTCACTGTCTCTATGGTGATTCAAACCCCGAGGGGCTGTTCTGAATGGATCTGAAACCAGCCGGTCTCCCACGTGCCACACTCAGTCCCCGACCTGCCCACGCCGAGGGCCGGAAGTGAACGCAAACCGCTTAACGACCATGTGCGGCCGTGCAGCTCCCGGTCTCACTCCAGGGAGCGCTCTCCAGGGAACGCCAGACGCTGCCGTAGCTCGAGGCCACGTGAAGATGAGGAGGGGACAGGGAACTCCCACTTACATCCTGGCCTCTGGCCACCCACCTCCTTCAGAATTTCTCAACCATCCTCTAGGCCTCTTTCCTTGCTCAGAGGCCGCTCGGTTTGTGCTCACCCCCTTGGGAAGTAAGCAGGGGAAGGGTGACAGATGGGCTTTGTAGCTCAGCGCTCCAGACTTCAGAGAAGGTGACACTCGTCACCCTTAACCCAGGGCCTTTGGTTAGGGCAAGGCTAAGGTTGGGACTAAGGTATGCAGGAGAACACGCCCAGGAGCAGGCCCCTCAGGCTGCTGTAGCCGGGGACGTCGGCATGCCTCCCAGACACCAAACAGTTCTCAGCTTGACATTCAGCCAGCTCCATGCCCACGGCAGGGTACCCCAGTCTGCGGGCACAGCAGATGGGCCACCAGTGCTCCTGGTCACCAGCCACCCAACCCGCTGGTGGACGAGGAGCCGAGGCCCTGCCATGTCCCCCAACCACGAATACCATCTGGCCAAGCAGGGCTGTGAAGAGCGTGTCACTTACTGGGGGGGTCCAGGTGCTCGCCGAAGCCATATGCCCACGGGACAAGCTGGAGCAACCAGGCAGGGCGTCCCCAACTACAGCCCCACTGAGCCTTCTCGGCTGTGCCCTTGGCCCCGGCACAGGGTCTGCCACTTGGCAGACTCCACTTCGGGCCTTCAAACAAATGCTATCTCAGAATGCCATGTCCCGGGAGCAGGCCACGCCCTCCCAGATTCTCCAGGGTCCTCCCCCGTGCCCCTCAGCTGTGAGACTCACCCAGCAGTGCACCTCCATCATCTGGAAAGCTGAAGGGCAGGACCGCGTCGGGCAGAGGGGCTTCCCGCACGGAGAGCCCTGAAGCTGCACACCATGGCCGCCAGGAGGGCCTGTACTACCCTGCTCAGGGCTCACGCCTCCCCAGCCACCAAGTCAGATCTGGGCCACCTGCTGCCGCAGAACTAGGAGAAGGGCCGGCCAGAGACTCCGGACCTGCCTCGGCACTGCCGTGGGGACTCCCTGTGCCCAGCATCTGGCCTCTGCCCACCAGGCGCACACCACTCCCCGCCTTGTCCAGTCCTCAGAGAAGAAATCCCTCCAGACTCTGACAAGTGTCTCTTGAGTGAAAAGTCACCCCCAGTTAAGAGGCATCCGTCCCAAGTAACCGTGGGGACATAGCCAGTGTGGGGGTCAGTCTGCGGCCATCAGCATAACTAGAGGCGGGCTTGTGGGGTTCTCCAGAAACAGCCACGACTCTACACCATCAGAAGCCAAGTCCGGATGGGGCGAGGACACACTTGAGCAGGCCCGGGCCACTCGATCCCGTCGGGGAGAGGGAGCCGGGGTGGGTAGGAGCGAGGCCTGCACCAGGCAGCGCTCTGACGGCAAGACGAGGGGCCAGTGTTCCTCCCAGCCCTGCGTGATGTGCACCCCAGCGCGGTCCGGGATCCCTCCTGACCAAGGATTCCAAGCAGAACGCACCTACTACGGAGAGGCCCAGGGCGGAAACAACCCCACAGTCTCAGCCAGCGTGAGGCCCAGACGTGAAGACACGGAGGAAGGGCAAGGGCGCACAGAGCTCCAGGAAGCCGACAGAGCCTGGGACCGACGTCGCGCCCGGCAACGGCTGTCCAAGGCGAGACTCGAGGGAGAAATGGCGCCAGACCTGCTCTCCGGAACAACCCACCATTGCCAGTCTACACTCCATCCGAAATCCAGATGTTCCACTAGAGAGCTGTCACAGCGTATCTAAGTTCAATAACCAGACTGGTTATGAGGCAGAAATCTAAAAATGGCTGTCAAAGCATAAATGTCTTTTAAAGATTTATATTACCCGGCTAGCAGGTGGCGTGGTGTTTAAAGGCGCTGGACTCCCACATGGCCAACTGCAATTCAAGTCCTGGACCTGGCGGCTGGCTTTCTCACTTTCGCATTCTCTCCCCAGTCTAATTTAAAAATAGTAACAACAATAATAATGACAAATGGAATTAAATTAATTTTTAAAAGATTTACCCTATTTATTATTTTTTAAATTTGCTACAGGGCATGTGTGCTCATCAGAGTCAGTCGTGTGGGAATCCAGTCCCTTAACCACCAAGTCACCTGCTGGCCCCAAAGGGAAAATAAGCAATTACAACAAAACCCACAAACTGGTACAGGATACCCACAGGTCCTGAGACTTCCTGTCCCAGTAACTCAAAGACATTCCCTGCCCTCAACACAGAGTACAGGAGACCAACAAACTGGTACAGAATACCCACAGGTCCTGAGACTTCCTGTCCCAGTAACTCAAAGACATTCCCTGCCCTCAACACAGAGTACAGGAGACCAACAAACTGGTACAGAATACCCACAGGTCCTGAGACTTCCTGTCCCAGTAACTCAAAGACATTCCCTGCCCTCAACACAGAGTACAGGAGACCAACAAACTAGTACAAAATACCCACAGGTCCTGAGACTTCCTGTCCCAGTAACTCAAAGACATTCCCTGCCCTCAACACAGAGTACAGGAGACCAACAAACTGGTACAGAATACCCACAGGTCCTGAGACTTCCTGTCCCAGTAACTCAAAGACATTCCCTGCCCTCAACACAGAGTACAGGAGACCAACAAACTAGTACAAAATACCCACAGGTCTTGAGACTTCCTGTTCCAGTAATTCAAAGACATTCCCTGCCCCTCAACAGAGAGTACAGGAGACCAACGCCCGGTCACTCCCTATGTCAGGGTTAACTGCATTCTCATCAATACAACCCCACAGGGACGAATTATCCAAAAACTGGAAAAACATTTTCAAATCACTTGTTTCTATCTCTCAGACCCGGTCTCCCTGTGGCAATCCGCCCACCCGCCCTGCCAGCTCTCTTGGAGGGGCCTCAATGTATGGCCCAGGCCAGCCTCCACCTCATGGGCCTCCTGCCTCTGCCTCCCAAGACTGCGGTAATGGGCATACGCCCCCTCCCAGGCCTTCAGGAAGCCGACCCGGCCTCACAGAGGGCCCAGCCTGGACCACAGCAGCTTGGCAGGAACACACCACTCGGATCAGTTAGCACAGGAGAGCGGCGTGTGACGGGCACCACTGCAATGGTGCTCTTATTTTTCCCTGGCTCACACATGTGCAAACAAAAGATGCAGCTTACTGTGCTGCCACATCATCGTTAGCTTACGCCGGTAACTGTGTTCTTAGGAAACTTAGCACTATCAAACACTGGTGATATAGGGACCAGCAGTTAGCGTGATGGCTATGTCGCTGGACTCTCACGTAGCCAACTACGGTTCGAATCCCGGACCTGGCGGCTTAAACTCACACCAGGTGCATGTGCGTGTGTGCCCAGGATCCCGAGAGGAGAATGGAGGAGAAGGGATTGCGGCATGGCCATCCCCCCTAGGGGGTGATTTCTCTCTCTCTCTCTCTCT